TTTGTTTTTTGAGAAAGAAATTTCTAGCCAGGTGGTCTGGTTGTCTCCTTCACTGAGTAAAATGAAGGAACTTGCAATTATCCCAGTACGGTTTGGGTTCGAAGGGACCTTAAAGATCACTTGTTCCAACCTCTCTCAATGAACGTTACTAATTTCAAAGAAAAATAATAGAAAATACGTGTGCCTATATAATTTTTTAAAAATATGAGGTAGTCTACATAGAACAAATAAATGAATGTAAGCATCTCTACATGAGTGTTTTATTGATGAACTTAGGTAGTGTCCTCTCCATGGTTTCTAATTCAAGTTGATAACAAACACGTTTCCCAGAAGCAAAAGATGATCCAAAGTATATCACACACAGAAAAGAATAAAAATTCAGAAATGTATCATTTGTAAAAGGCACAAATGAACTGTAGAAACATGTAAATAATAATGATAGAGAATGATGCAGAAGCAAAAATGAAGAAAACAAAAAGAAAGAGAACTACCTGTTTAGATGTTCCCAACAAATCCTTTGTGAAGATTGATGTATAGAACTCTAGTAAGCATTTTTAGATGTAACTCTTCAGCTGGTGGTCACTGACTGCAGTTTTGAAGGCAGAAATCTCCTAATTTATTTTCACTAATTTTCACTTCTTGGACACCTAAGTAATCCTTTTCATTACTGCCACTGGCAAAATTGAAAGCAGAACATCCCTTCTGTTTGAGACAAGTATATTTACATGATACTTCCCATCATTAAAAAGCTTTAAACTTAAAAGGTGGGGGAAACTGAATTGTTTATGAACATCTTAAACTGTGGTACAACTCTCACAAGGGGAAGAAGAAATAGCTTTTTGTTTTTCTAAACAAAATAAATACACAGGTGGTGTTTGTTTGTTGCTGATTTTTGACTTGGTACATTTTTGATTTGTTAGTAAATGTTACAGATTTATAATTAGGAAGGTTGCCCCCAAAAGTACTGCCTTCTATTTATTTCCATGGAAATGACAACAGTTACAAAGAACACGAGAACATTATTTAATAGAGAAAGTTCTCAGCTACAAGATGCTATTTTTCAACAGTCATCGCTGGTAGTTATGCATTTTTCCCAGCAATGAACAAGAGCCTGTATGCCATACTCATAAAAATCTGCACCAATGGAGTTAACCCACACCTTCATATCTGCTATGACGATGTCATCAATAGGAAAATGGTGCCCACACAGTCCAATTTTCACTGTACTAACGTCCTCTGTTTGGTCGTGTAATGGAAATGCAAAGTCGCAGCCTGGACCAGTGACTGAGCACCCATTGCAAGGCAGGGCCAACCCAGGGGAGCTCAGTGCATGCAATGCAGCTGAGTGACTGGAAGGGGGTAGAGGTAGGATCCACCTCCCAGGCCCTATTTAAGGATTGGCAGTGGAGATGAGGGTATCTCATTTGGAGTTCCTTACTTTTCTGAGAACTGTATAGGCCTTTCCAAGCAGTTTCCTTTACTTCTGTACTCACTGCTATCCCATCTAAGCAGATCATCCATTGCTTTAGCCTAAGACCTTGCTGTTCTGCTGTCTTGTTATGCGTTCTGTCACATTACAGGTCTCCAGAAATATAATTTAAGTGTTGGAGAATGCCAATGGGTGTAATATTTTCTGCATGAAGGAATTCAGTTCCACACCTTTGCTTCAGACGCACTTCCGTGTCACACTGCCTCTCTCCTACCATCTGTTGTATGGCAGTAGTGTGGAACTGAATACTGTAGTGAGCATACAAGCACTACTGTCATATCACCTTTGATCTTATGGACTAACTTAATAAAATGGGAGGAGTTACTTTCAGTAACGAGTCCTTGCTAGTTACTAATGGTTGTGTCTTGTTTTCAGTTGGGATCTCGAGCTGATTACAAAGGGTGTTAATGGAATCTGCCTTTGAATTTTAGGTTAGCTGCTCCATTTGTCTGCGAAGGCCTTTTCTTATAACAGTTACATAAAATTCAAGAAAGTAGGATTTTTCACGTTCAGTCAACTTATGGATGATATTCCACCTGAAGAAACATTATACATACTGCACCTTAGATGTGTTATCCTCCCTAACCCAAGCCACTCTGTGATTCTATGTTCTGTGACCCAGTTTGTTCTATTCAATGTAAAATTTGTAAAACTAGAGTATCTTGCTTCTTCAGGCTCTTTCTTCTTCTATCTGCATCCTGAAGAAGAGTTTGACAGAACTCTCTATCTGTTTTTGTCCTGTCACTGCCCTCTTCAGTCAAGTCACTCATTCATTGGATAGCTTTCACTGAAATGTAGAGAATCACAGGAATATTTGGATCCGACACCTGCTTAAGTCATCCCTTTGAATGTTTTACCTATGCATCTTAGTGAGAGGAAAGTAGGCAATGTGTTTGAGATGTTCAGAGAATGCTGGTCTCTTCTTGGTTCTTCTTATTTCATTTTAAAAATAAGTACTTGGAGTAAATATAACTGTAGTTTCCTTTCTGGGTAATGGTAATGCAGTTATTGTATATGGTGTACTTTCTCAGCCTGCTGAGACTTATTTTCTCCAAGGAAATTGAGGTTTCCATGGCATTACGTGCATATGTTTCACTATGTTTGTCTTCTTGCAAGAAAAAAAGAGGAGTAATTTCCATGATGCTTGAGGCATAGACAGTTTTTAATCTCTGTAAAGGTTTGCAAAATTACAAACGTAACTTTTTACTTTTTGCGAATGCTTGCCAACATTCATACCAACAGATTAAAGATGTAGTAATATGGTAAATCTGAACATTGCCACTTAAATAGTAATATACAAAATACCACCTCTTTTTGAATATGCTGTAATTTTCACTTCTGGACTGATAAGATGTATGGGAGAATTCTAGATGTAACTTGAAATGGGTTGAGAATCTGCTACAGATAATATACCAACTCCACATTCTGTTGTTGTAAATGAAGGTAATGACTGTCTTTCCAGATATGAACCAGGCATCTTTCTTCTCTTATGAAAGCTGTGCTACATCCATCTGGCTTGACAGCTACTGTAAGAGGTCTAAGTACTATACTAAATTTAAGATGCTTTTAGCAGATGTAGGACTTGAAGATCATTACTACTCACATCAGTGAAAGGGAAAATGTAGAGAGGTTGAAAGGAAAGAATGTGTTATTGCTGAGAAAAGAGTTTTATTTGTCAGACTGTGCAATTAACAGAAATTTGCTTTTTGAACATTTCTTTTTTCCAGCTAATAGACTTCATTTGTCTAAAATTCATACCATGCTTTAACCTGGTATCAAAATCTCTGGGCAGAGATTTTAATGTAGTTATTTAGACTATATTCATTTCCTTGTGAAAGAATGAGCAAGTATTTTAAATCTGATAAAAGTCACTATTATCAGGAACAGAAGTCACTTGTGTACACAACATAGCAGGAAATAGCTTGCTGTCCTTTTAGGACATTTAATATGCATCGTTAAAATACATATTCATGAATTCTTTATGTAGTAGTATATAATTCTGAATTTATTTTATGTGATCATATTGTGCATGTAGTATAGATGTTGCATAGCTTCTGTTGCAGAGGAGCTGCTGCTTAAGTAGGGTTAACAGCACAAACTCTCTGATCAGTATGTGACATGCTCTGTGAGATCCTGCACTTGGGTAATGTTTGATTACTCAAATGCTTTCAGTGAACAGAGAGTAGTCACATTGCAAGCATTAGGCTGTATGCAATTTAAAGAGGAGGTATTGTGTGTCTACAGTAAATATAGGTTTGTATTTAAAATACCAAAAACATCTTTAAGGATATCAAGTATCCTCTGTAATGTGGTAATTATTTGTTCGGCATTAGCTCTCCCACACAGTTCTGTAGATCTTTGGATTCTGGTAACTGTGTGTTTCTTGTTACGTATCTGCTTGCAGTTACTCAAATGACCCTTCAGTGAGTAAGCTTTATAAAAAATGAATGGAGGTAATCAGTATAAAAAAATCATGCAATTCATTTATTATTATTATTATTTTTTTAACAAACATTCTGTGGTTTTATCAAAAGTCAGTTAGTGACTTTATTCAGATCTTCTCCTGTTCAACAAACCATTTCTTTTATTCAAATAAAAACTTCAGTTTATTGTACAGCTGGCTGCCTTTTTTGCAGGTTTTTTTTTCCTAATGCACAGGGAAGAAAAAAACTTAGTTCTTGAATTGTCAGCTTTCTCAAGTTTAAGTATGAAGTGACAAAAACAGTAGCAGTGGATGAGCTTATTGAAACACACTGTGTTTTGTGGTGAGACAGCTGTGCTTGGCTGTCCAGAACATGGTTTGTCTTTCAGGTTACTGTCATCCCTGCTGAAACGTACCACTCTCTGCCTCACTGTGCTCCCATCCATGCTTTGGTCTGCATAAATGTTCAGCAGGTGTCAGTGAATGTCAGTGGGTACAATTGTTTCTGCATGGAGGAATTCAGTTCCACACCTTTCCTTCATACCACTTCCGTGTTGGATGCCAGTCTGTCAGATTGCCCCTCTGCTGCCTTCTATAGCTATATGCTTGCTACATAAGGGAGCATATTTGGAGACTTGGCTGTATCACAGCCAGATTACACACTGTTCAGTTTAATGTGTGATAGCTAAATGGTCTCTTGCTTTCGAGACTGAGCCTGTCATTAGTCAAGTAGGACAGACTTTAACCTGATGTTTGTGGGAAAGTGTTTTCCGGGAGGAAAAATTATAAGGGTTTGTGTGTTCTGATTTAATATCTAAAGTACAGCATTTTGTTCATTCTGTAACCTGACAGTGACAATTTATCACCTAGGCTATTTACATATTATATTTTTGTCCATGTTCAATGTATATGTGTTGTAATTATAGTTTTCCTTCTGTTCTTACTAAATCCTTTGCAAATGGCTGTTTAGCAGAATTGAAGAGTACATCATCAAGATGGCATTTCAGATAAAGCTGCTGTGACCTTTAATGATTCATTTTGCTTGAGAAAGGACTATATATGTTGTTATATCATTTCTTTGTATTTTAGGCATTTATAATTCTAACTGAACTCATCAGAGAGAACTTCAGAAATAGCAAATTGAAACAATGCCTTTTACCAGCACTTGGGGAGCTTCTTTATCTCGTAGCCAGCAAGGTAAGACTGTCACAATCCTTACAAATTTCTGTGATTAACTATAAAGAAAAAATTACTATTGGAAGTAGGTAAAAAATCAAGAAACTCTGTCATCTCTATTCTCAAGAGTTTCTTGTCCTTGTATGTTCTGTAATACTTTATCTACTTGTTAAGTAATGTGCTAAGCCAATCTTGTACTTCCTCTGATGTAAATTTAATTGCAGTCTTCAAATATAGAATTTTTTAACTTTCTGAAACAATTCTATCAGTCACTATAATGACTGCTGGCCTCCAGCTTGCAGATCTAAGAGTTAGCCTATCTTAGCTAGCGATGTTGATTAAGCAGGATGCATAATGACAACCTATGATATCTATAAATCAATATATCTAGTTCAATTTAGTTCTTATCTTAGCATGTTTGGATTCACAGTGCTGTTGGAAAGAGACTGGGCTGATCTGGCTAATGTCAGATGGAATAATGGACATATCTGACTAGGACTGGTTTAAAATCTTTGGTCTAAAAATATTAATATGCTTTAAAAATGAGTTAATTGTAAACAAGAAGTACTACCAGTAGTAGAATTGATGATGAAAGATAATGGTTTGCAAGAGCTGTCTTTTCACCGATTTTAAGATACATTTTTTTTTTTTTTTTTAAATTAGAGGTGAACATGACTTCAACAAAAGAAACTTAGCACTAACTTAGCTGCCTCTCTGAAGTGTTTGTATTAACTGCATCATCTTATTGGTCTGAATGCTGTGACATTAGTTATCAGTTTGTGTGTGAGGTTACTTGTTGAAAGAGTGAAAGCACCAAGTAGGTTTGTATTTGGGCTTCCTGATATTCTGTGTCCTTTGCATGTCCCACAGAATGAAGTGGTTGCTTTGCTTGTTTTTTTTTTTTTGTAGGATAGCAAGCTTCATTTGCTGGTTAGAAATTGCTAAAATGTCTGTCAAACATGTGAAGTCACAGAACACGTCCTCATACTGAGAAATTGTAATGAAAGTACTTCTACAGTGACAATTTATTTTAGATGTTTTCACTTTTTTCTCTGTTTTCCTTAGGGGAAAAAATTATACTTATCAGACAGATTGCAAGCTATTTCATTTTTAACCACTAATAAAAACTCAAACTTGATATATGGCAAGAGTATTTTGCACTGCTTGGTTTTATTTTGAAATTAATCCTTACTGATTAAAACAAATCTGTCTGTGTTGGCTCTATAACTGAAGAGATTAGCATGTGCTAACCCTAACACATCCTTTTCTTATGAAAACATCAGCTGAGAAACTGTTAAGTCTGCATGTATTTATAAGCTTTGCAATGTTTGAAGCATATTAACTTGTTTTTAAATGAAAGCTCTCTGTCATGTTTCAGGAAGAACTATAGCAACGTGTTGAATTACTCTGAGTTATAAGAAGTTATTAGAGAATGGGAAAATTCATCTGTGCTTACAATTTTAAGGCACTACATCTTCTTAAAACTTCAAATATATCAGTGTGATTTCTATGCTTGGAGAAACTAACACGTCAGTTATATCATTATTTTTCTTTTTTTAAAAAGAGCTCTTTATTAAAAAATCATTTTTTTACACTGTACATATGCAACCTCAGAATAACATAGTGTGGTAGACATTTACTTGCTGTTTAAACTGCAGAGCAGGGTATGAAGTGACCTTGTCAAGATCGTACACCAAGTCAGTAGTAGTGTAATAAGAGCTAACAGAAATGTTTGTTCCCAGTTTATATTTCAAACAGCAGAGCCTTATCCCTTAACTAATTGAAGAGAACAGAACTGTCTGATTCATTAAGAATTATACATCAACTTTATAAACACTTACCAACTGAGCCATAAACTTATGGGGCTGTGCCTTGCTTCTATTTGTTTTGGGTTTTTTTTTCCTCTTGTGGTTTCCTAAGTGCTTCTATGTCCTACCTCAATATTAGATAATGATAATTTATTTTTCAATTAGCATGAGCATTTGGTAAATCATAAACTATCAGATGCTTAATCTGTCAACTATCTAGGTGCAGCAAGATTCATTAAGTTATATTGCAGGGTCCCTGGTTGCAGTTCTGCACTTTAGAAAATTCTGGAAGAAGTCTAAATAACCACAGTGCTCCTTTGCAATCCTTAATGCTGATACTGTGTGTACACTTGCATATGAGATCTCATTTATAAGATCTTGCACTCTGTATCTGTATTTCTCTTTCAAAAAGAAGCCAAGAGCAAATTGTAAGCAGCATGAGTTGACTACAGAGAAGATGCTCTGGTCCTCTTAAGTAAATTGCATTAAGGGAAAACTTTCAAATTCTATGTAACATTTCTCTTCCTTTTGCACTGTTTTATTTGGGTGAAGAACCTGAAGTTTAATCAAATCAACAGGAGCTCTGAACAAAAAGTAGGAAGCTCTTCAAAAGTTTGTGATGTGGGTAAACTTATTAAATATTAAAAATGGTAGGTATGTTTAGATAATTAAGAGCAGTACTAAATTTCATTTTTTTTTAATTTCTGACTTGAGCCTAAGCCTTGTAGGAAGCCATTCATCAGTTTGAAAAATGGAAGAACTATTGATATTTCAAGATTATGTCATTTCTTAAAGCTTTTATTTTTTTTAGCACATTTAATACGTGTAGTAGGAGAAAACTGTTCAAAGCTTCTTATTTATCAGATGACTGAAATGAGAAACAGGTTCATGCTGGTTCCAGCACAGGCTGTTGTTTTAACTTTCTTAACTCCTAGTCTTGTCCTTCCCTTTTCAGATAGAGACTATTTTTTTCACAGTTGTTAATATCTCTGTGCTGTTAGCCTAGATATGGAGCTTGCTTTGGTCAAATCTTAATGATATCCAAATATCCACTTTTAAATTTGATAATTTACAGTAGACTGCTTGAGGGAGGGGAAAAAAAGGAATTGCAGAATCAAAATGCTGATTCAAATAGCAGTGAATCAGTGTCTCTAACTGTGATTTCAAGGAAATACATGTAAAGATCTTGGAACACAGCTGATTCATAATGAAGGATATTCCATGCAGTAACTTTAATTAAGTACTTTATGTCTCTCTGAATGACTTTGAATATCTTTTTTCAAAGCAAACTTACTTTATTTTTGTTGACAAACAATTATTTTGTTTGGTATAATTAAATCACATTTAAAGAGAATCATTATTGCATTTCATATTCAGTCGGCCCTTTCTGAAGTAATCAAAATGATTGAAAGAGCCCCCAGATCATTCTTTGTGTGTGAGTTGGAAGGAAATGATGAAACGAGGAAATATTAGGACAAATTCTGTTATGGATTTTGGAGACTACGTAAGTAAAATAGTAAAATGCCAATTTCTTTGCTGCACGTGGAATAAAATAAATTGTTAATACTGCCTTGAAATTTAACATATTTTCTAGCATACGATAATTTGAAGTGTGTTCAGTGTGAACATTAATAAGAATATTGTACCCATTTATGTGGCTGAGATTATTGTGATTTCTTGATTTAATCATTTCTGCTGTTGGCTTCATTTCAGGAGGTAAAAAAAGAGCACCCCAGAGAGTGCTTGGTTGTTCCCTCAGCAGCTTACACTGTGCTAATGAGGTGTCTTCGGGAAGGGGTAAGGCACTTTCATTGTCCTCAATAGAATTTCTGCACTGTAATAACCCTTTAGGCATTGTGTGAGATTGTAGCCTGCAGCATTGCAGTACCTTGTCAACCAAGGTACTCTTGAATTTAAATAATCACGATAAGACCATGACCTAAGCAGAGATGAATGTAAAAATTCAGTGTTGTTCTCTGTGCATCCAACAGTTATGTACTGTTGCTTGGTTTTGGGAAATGGTAAATAAAAATTACTGTTAGTAAATTTAGTAACACTGTGACTTTCTCATGAGAGATGTTCTGAGAGCTTATAGTATTTTCTTGCAATTTACTTTCTGTGTGGTACATTTTTAAATGAGATTTAGTTTTGATTTCAAGTGTCTGATACAGTTTTGGAAAACTGCATTGTTATCCTACTGGGTTATTAGTGTACGAAGCCCCAAAGCAGTAATTAGTTTTATTGTACTACATACACTATGCTGTAATCTTAATTTTTCTTGGTGCTGATTTAGCTGTGTTACAGAAAGGAAATAAAAACATGCTTATAATTCCATGTTGTAAAATGAAGAGGAATTGAGTAGAGGATTGGTATTTTCTGTTTATGTGAGACCATTTGACTTTATTTTTGCCCAGGGCAAAGCTCAAGGCAGAAAACATGATGGAGGTTGCTGGAGGGGGGAAAGCAACAGAAGTACCTTTCTTTTCCTCTTTTTCTTTTTGAGATCTTTATTGCCTACAGATTGTGATTAATAGAGAAAAGGTCTAGATGCATTTTTAACATCTTCAAATCTTCAGATGATTAAGAACACACACAACCATGTTTGTATTACGGGGTATTTGGAGCTCATAACTAAAAGTAAAATGTTATTCTGAGGTACATTAGTCAGAAGATATTTAATGATAATTTGTGGAAAAATTTTCTATTTCTGTATTTTCAATGTTCACCCCTTAAGATTCACCTAAACTTTGTTTTTTTGGATAGTGTTCATACTTCTCATCCATATTGCTTTTTGATGTTTTTTCACTTTCCTTGTTCCACGTTCGCTTGGACTATGTTGCTTTGACCTAATCCCTCACTGAAGCTGTGAAACTAAATGGTGAGCCATGCATGCTGCCTCCTTTTAAGCCTGTGTGAAGGCAGGAAGGAGCTACCAAAAAGTAGCTTGGAGCTTGGTATCTGTCCATTTCTGCTTAAATAGGAGGGTATGTAAATACAAGCTAACATGAGCAACAGGTTCAGTAATCACTTCATAGAACCTGGGAAAAAGACACACGCAATACAGCTGCATGGATGAGTTAGTATAGATAGCTGTAGTTAATTGTCTTGCTCACATTAGAATGTGTGTAACTCTCATTTTAAGTAACGGACCTGGAGAAAGTATTTGAAACAGAAATAGTGAATAAGTTTTAAAAGGTTAGTTTTGTCTTATGTGTTTTCCAAGGTGCTGCAGAAGCAGGATTTTAAATAAATTAGAGTTTCTCATCATGTAATTTAGCGGGCATTTTTATCTTCCTTTATGAGGGAGCAAGATATGAATCAAAGGTTTTTGGTTCTAATCTGATGAAAATTTTAATAATCAAAGCTAACTTTAAAATATAACTGCCAATATTTAATATTGGGCAATAATACATGTAAAGCAATCATAGAAATGATTTCTAATGTATATTCTTAACTAGAACAGTTCCTTTACAGTGAATTTGGACCTTGTGTTTTTTCTCAGAAAGTATGGGATAAATTATATTACAGAAGTCATACAGTCTGAATCATATACTCTTCATCACTTTAATTTCCTTAGATATCAGTTCTGTAGTTTACTAATGGATTTAGCTATAATAAAAAAGTAATAGTCTGTATTGTATACTTCTTCTCCAGCTCACTGGCAGAATGTTTATTTTTTATTTTTCCACAAAAGGTATTTAACATTAATATTTCTATGTGTTCCTTCTTTAGCATTAGATTACAATTTTTTACCAAACATTTAATTCTTGCTATAATGAATGCTTAGCGTGATACAGCTTTACTTCCTTAAATTATATTTGGTTTTTTTTTTTTTTTAATGCTATCTGTCTTCTTAGATTAAAGGAAGAACTATATGGAAGATTTAGGAAAATGATGAGATTTTCAGTCAGTTTTTCTGATTTTTTTTTAATCAGTATTACACTTCTACTAAATATATTTCTCTATGCATCATTTAATATGAAAAAATAATAAAATATTTTAATATTTATTTACCACTCTAATATTTGCTTTCTTACTCAGAGCTCCTTTTCACTAAATTTCCACATCTGACCGAAACAGACACTTCTGCAAGTGTTTGACATGACCGAAATTTAGAAACTGTCTTTCAGTGCAATTTATAAAACTAAACATAAAGCTAAAACAGTGAAAGTGGATTTTGTGCTTCTTTTGATACAGTTCTACTCATATATTTTGATTAGGCGCAGTGACACAGAACCTCTTTATTTGTATTTTGAAGAGTTTTGGTTTGGTTTTGTTTTTTTAATTCACTAACATAACTTATGTTTTGATAACTTGACAGAATGAGTCCTTTAGTTCTGAGGTCAAATATTAGTTTAGGTCAGACCTCTCTTCTGGAGAGCTAATTAAGCAGAGAATGGTGCAAGTCTTAGTTGCTTAGGCAGTGCTCAGAAATAAATCTCAGGGGAGTAAAGACAGACAATCTCAGATGGCAGTAAATGGAATTATTAGGAAAGCCTCATTGAGTTTTTAGTGCATTATGACTATACCTGACCTTTTTCTAGCCAAAGGAGCAGGACTATATACCAAGTATATTAATTGTTGCCACTTGTTCAAAGTAGCAATGGGGACTCAATTAGTATTCTTAGTAATCACATAGTATGTAAGAGACATTTGACTTGGCTATTAACATTTCAAGTACAGATTTGATTTTTAAATTCATACAGTTAATCTGATAAATCTATGTATTTTTTACCTTAACTGTAGGGAAAAAAAAAATCAGAAGTTTCATACAAAAATAGATTTTAAATGAATGTTAGTTACATTAAAAAAGAAAAAAGGTTTTGGGAAGCTGAATTTTGGTAAATGTATGTTCTAGCTAGATAGTTAATAGACAGAGTTGGTGCAGTATATTATGGTAATTAAAATGTAAAAACAGCCTAAATCTCCTTTGCTTTCATGGCTGTAAATCAGAAGGAAAAGCAAAGGAGTTGGTAGAGTTTTACAGCAGAGCATAATTGGTTTAAGTGAGAATTGGCTTTGGTATTTCTTCTAAATATTTTGAGTAAAGCAGAAGTTCTTTGGAAGAAAACGAAGGACTAAAACAAAAACGATGAATAAAAGCTTAATAAACAATATTATACTGGACTTCTGAAATACTCGTGCATTGGTGTCTGTATTTTAGAATGTCCATCTGTCGGAGGAGCAGTGAGTACTGAATGTATTTTTAATGAAATGCATGTTCTCCATTTTTGGATGGCTTTTCTACCATTTTCTGAAAGGTTTCTTTATCATTGCTTATAGTTGTTGGTGAGTCTGTTTGTGAATGTCAGAAATCCAAAGGGTAGTAGGATAATGTGGAGATAAGTATAAGAAAGAAATCCATTTGGTATTATAATGAATTATTTGTGAAGCCAGAATAGGAGGTAGACTTGACAAATTAAATTGGTTGTCCTTCTCCTATTAGAATTAACTGCTGCTGAACTCAGGAGTGCAATTTAAGATATTGCTGAAAGACTTCACCTATTCAGAGTTAAAGGTGGAAGTAAGGTGGGATGATACACTGCCAAACCAACGCTGGGGATGAATCTTCCAGTTCTATGAAGATAAAGAATCTCCTTTTAAGTGAAAGCAGAGTTGGAAAAAAATAATTAAAAAAACCACAAAAACAAGCAAAACACAGCAAAATCAGAGATATTAAAAGGAGCATTTAAGGAAAAAAAAAAAAAAAAAAGACAAGAGGGAGAGTGATCTAAATTAAGTTAATTTGTGACATCTGTGGTATGCTGATGTCTTGTCATTCTGACGTGGTTTTTATTCCTTGTAGAAACTGAACTCTGAATAGTATTACATAGGTACTACAGCTGTGCTTGCAGACTGCCTGAGACACGCATTGATAGCTTTATTTTTTTTATTAAAGAATCAGTTAGTGGTTTTGCAGATAAATGACTTGATTATTACTAAAAATAGCTTTCAGGACTGTGAATCCCTTAGGGAAATTTAGGAACTGCTGTAGCAAATGGGACCCAGCGGTTTATCATAGACATTGGTCAGGATTGTCTGCTTACAAGCCCAGTTATTCCAAAATACCCTTTTCTTTACACTCTGAAGAAGGCCCTCTTCTTTATCCCAGGGAATTGTTCATTGTTTTTAATAAGGAGAGTTTGAATTATTTAATTTTATTTCTCGTAATGTAAATGTACATCTCGTAATCGTGCTATTCAGACACTATTTTAATGGTAAATTTTGGCACACACACATTCAAGAAACAGTGATCATGGAACATCTCTTATGTAACAAAGCCTTTTTTTTGCAGTGGCAACATTTAATTTCGTGATCACTTGGAGCAGAAATATTTTGTATTAAATTATACTTGTATTAATTGTTTTATTTATAGTGAGAGAGAAAGCAGGGGGCGTAGAATTTGTAAACACATTGTTGTCACAAGATTTCCTACAAAAAACTTTGCCAAATATGAAACGAAAATAAGAAAGCACACTAATAGAGTACACATTGAATGAAACATGGACATAATAACTAGTCTAAAAACAAGCCAGAAACATTACAGATATAAGTTTTCCTTTCCCATTGTTTCTATAGGAAGACCGGATAGTGAACCATTTGGCAGCAAAGATCATTGAAAATGTTTGCACTACTCTCTCCTGCTATGCACAAGGATTTATTACAGGAGAAATCGGACCTGTCTTATGGTACCTTTTCACACATTCTACCATAGATTCTTTGAAAATAACTGCTGTTTCGGTAAGAAATTTCCTTTCACGATGTAGAAATCTTTAAGGTTTTATCTGCAAATATAGTTTGCATTGAAATGAAAATGCTTTTGAGCCTGCATTCTGTGTGTATGTATATTTTCTGTCACGTTGAACTGTATTGCAAATAACTGATAGGACAAATTATGCACCAGTTTGAATGCTTACTGTTTACCAGTTTACTGTTACTAAGAACAGACCAGTATGCCTAAAAGGGCTAAAAGATGGATCAGAGAGATGTGTTTGTTAGTTGGCTTACAGCATTTTTATTCATATTTTTATTCCTCTTTGCAGCAAGTGAGAACTGCCCCCATTCATGTTGTTCTACATTCCTTGACATGACCTGTAATTGAAACCTAATATAGCTGCCTATGTTGAAAACAAGTGTATGGAAAGACCTTGCAGTTCATTATTTTCTTGAACATGCGTTTCCTATGCTAGAGGTCATGATTCTTTTTTGAACATTTTAATTCATGGAATCAAGAAATTCTTCCTGATTTTTTTGTGATGTATTTTACTTCAGGAGTATTTATTTGGTTTATAATATACTTCATAGAATCACACAGGATGGAAAAGACCTTAAAGATCATTGAGTCCAACCATGACAAGCAAAGAGCTATGACACGTAAACAAAAGGTTTGGAACAAAAAGATTTGTGAGATAGACAATATTTACCAGAGCTGTGAGTTTAACCGTATCTCCTGTTTACAAAACAAAAGCTGTAGCCACCAATACAGGTAACATTTCAGGACTGAACAGTAATTTGACTTAGTTTAAATGAAGTGTAATAGCTGGATGCTGATTGCCTGAATAATGTTCAGGCTCACTGAGTTTCTGGTGGCTTTGCAAATAGAAAATGGTAAAGTTGCTATGGTAGTATGTACATAGACACATCTAGCAGTGAGGTAATGAATGAGAGAAAATTAAAACATCTAAGCATGTTGAAGAAACAAACAGTAGAACAAAATATTGTTAGAAAATACATATATTTATTAAATATTGACCTCAAGATGCCTTTTTGGCAAACGCTTGCATGGGAAATAAACTGCTCAAACACGAGGAAAATGCGTTGACTTCTAAGTACATTTTATTTAACAAAATATATGTTATAGAAGGCTATAAGTTACCATATTTATGTTGTACTTCAAAATTGAATTGTCTGACAGCCCTGGGTTGGCACTCATTAGCGTTACAGCAATGACATCATTTTTGCCAAGCTCTCACCCTGCGATTATTTTTTTTCAAGTTTTTTAATTTTTCACTTTTCACGTAAAATCAAAAATGTAGCTGTCAAAGCCTATTTGTCTTCAGGAACTACTCTGCCATGCCCTCTTTTAGGTGGCATATGTTAGTATCGAGGCATGTTTTTAAGGTCATGACAGCAGCAATTACTAGAATTCCCTAAAGAAAAATGATTTGTTGAATGCTCTATTAGATTTATTGGGGGAAGACCAGGTTCCTCAAAGTCCATGCTTCAGTGTCAGGCCATTCATTTAAAGAGATGACACCAAGTTGTGTGTGCACAGGGTTCTGCTGAGGCAAAAATCTCCTTAGCATCTTGTACTTGAATATGTGCAAATGTGCAGTATAAATGTACATAAGGAACATATAGAAAACAAACCTTGTTTCCAACTTTTTTTTTTTTTTGAACTGTGAAAGCACAGGCTTACTGGAGATCACACTTCTCACTTGGGTGATTGCTAAGGTTATAGTTACACTAGAGGTAGACCTTGCTCCAGGTCAGCATAGTCGTGAGATTTGAATGAAAGCAACAGGGAAAAGGACTATAGGAGTATGAAATGTTTGTTCTTCTACATCACTTGTTTAGCTGCTCTATTTCTTGATGCTTTTTTTTTTTTTTTTTTAAAGGCAGTTATTGCTATATGTAGTAAATTCCATCTTCTCCTTCCATACATGTCATTTCACATAAGTGTACTTTTTGTCTGAAGTTGTTACTGGATTTTCCCCTCTACTTTTTTGGGAAGTGTACACCCTTTACCAAATGTTTGAGGTATAATTATTGTATGTTACATGTATGATCAATGAATATACAGATATTATAATTAAAAAATATACAGGAAAGTTAGGCTCAGCAGGTTATCGCACCAAAGAATAATGGATGGAAAGCTTACCCTTGTCCTGGGCTCTCTGAGAAGACTCCAAGAGAAAGGATCTCCAGAAGAGATCCTTCCCTGCTGGTAGTCAGCTCTTAAATGGCTCTAGGAGAGGTGCAGCCAGGCTCCACGCCTTCCAGCAGCACAGCTGAATTGCCTTCACCTGTGCTTCCAGGGCTGACTCATTGCTCGCCTCAGGTGGTCAATCAGAGGTTCAGGCCCTTGCATAAGAAGTGAACTGAGCTGCAGCTTTCTAAAGTAAAATATACTAAGGTGTTCCTCTAATCCTTTTGCTGCTTTGTAGTTAAACACCAAAGGAACAAGAGGTTGAACTTTTATTTATTGCGATTATGATTATTATTCAAGACCCGATATAAATCATGGCTGTGTATTAATACAGCTGGGGTTTTTGAGCACATTGTCTGAACTTTGGAAAACACTCAGATAACCAATTGATATTGAAATCTAATGCAGGTAGCTCTTTTCCTAGTTGAATTTTATAGAGATTTAAGTAACATACAATTTTTTTGAAGTAACATATTAATGTATTCTCAGTTTGTATCATACTATTTATTTTCTACATAAAATATCATTGTAGCATATTGTTGCCACAGATATGCAGGCATTATTTATTCTGCATATGATAATGTGTCCTACTATGTTTTATCATGCTGTCATTCCTGCCTTGTTTAAATCTATCCTGAAGAATGTATTCTTGATTGACGTGTATATTCACTATAAAAAGCATTAATGTTAAGAAACATGTATGCTATATCTTTACCTGCAGCTAGCACGTCGTCTGCAATGTATCTCAGCAGTAAGGCACTATGGGATTTTACTTATAATTATTTCAATCAGCAACAAAAATATATCAGGAAGACTTTCAGTCCTCAGCCACTAGCATCAAGAAATGACACTTTGTGTTGTCCTACCTGTCAGAGGTGGCAAATGGAGATTGTGTTTCAGTATTTTTGCTTGCTTTGGGGTAGTCCAGCCTGCCTTAGGTAAACATAATACAAAAATGATATCATTTATTGTTTTGCTAGATTCAGAATAGAAATAATTCAGTAAGATGCCAAAATGACATTCTGACAAGCTCAGCAGCAAAAATTTTTTTCTAATATATTGAAAGTTATATCCTCATTTTTAAAAAATAATTATTGATGTTAGGAAATATCTTCTGCTGGAGAAGTAACTACTTGAAACATAAGCCACTTCCATGGGGAAAAAAAAATACAGGGGAGCTCAACAAAATTGTTTTCTTTCTTTTCTTTTTCTTAAATAATTGATGCTGAATAGTTTCTTTCTGCGACTTAGTTACCACAGATGCATTAAAGCATTCATTCTCAAATTTGAGATACGTAGAGTGCATCCTGAAAGGATGAATGTTACCTAGATACTATATAGCACATAAGACTGGGAAGCAATGGATAAGGCACAAATACTGTTAAGGATGGGGCTGTGGGAGAAAAAGTGCAGACTGGATGGAGACCAAAAATGGCAAAGTTCATTCTAGGAGAGGCTCTACCAATGCCTTTCTCTCACTGCAATCATTTCTTGTTCAAAGCTGCTTCTGACAGAGGATTATGTAAAGTCTCCTCTACTCTTACCTGTTATCATTTCCAGACCCTTGCCCAACTACCCCCCCCCCCCCCCCCCCCCCACACACACTTATCTCATCTGTTTTCTCAAAATACAGATCTGCTGAAGTGGTTTATGAGAATATGTCTTCTATTTCCCATAAAACTCCATCTGCTTTTCTGCTGAAGTGTTCATTTCAGTCATTCAACAGAGCACATGATGACAACAGGAGTTTAAAGTTTCTATCCTTTGCTGTTAGTGGGATGGAGCTTTCCTGCTGTCTCTGAAGCTGCAATACAGTCTTAGGAGACAGCCGTGTCTCCACAGGATTTACCTGGAGGTTTCTAATGGTCTTATGGCTGTGGTTACCTCTTTTTTGACCAAGTCTGTAGCAGGGAGCTAAAGCCCTGGCAACTCTGCGAGCACCATACTAGTGTAACAACTTTGCCACTTTTGCTTTGACACAGTTTGTCTCTGGGCCTCAACAATTTATGGTAATTTGCACCTCGAGGATACATTTAGTGAATACCTTGGCTCTGCTAATTTTGAGAACTCTGACTAGAGATGAATGGTAGAATTGTATCCTTGGGGAAATAGACACTGATGTACTTAGAAACAAAGACTGAATGCCTATCTTTTAAGGAAAAAAAAAAAAAAGGGAGGGAGGAGGGGGAAGGAAAAAGCTGCAATCAATATTATTGCAGGACCAAAAAGAACAAGGAGGAGTGGGTATTGAGTAGGTGAATGGCAGCAATGAAGTACCTGTTTAAAGACACGTTATAGGTTTGTCTTTTTTGTTCCTTCCTTTTTTCTTTTTCCTCCTCTTAAATGAGAACTTGCTACTGAATGGACACTGAGTAAGCAGCAGTTTCTAAATATAGCTGGTTAGGAGAGAGCAAAGAAATGATGATATTGACTACTGTTCACAGAAGAAAGTTGCCTGAAACCAATTCAGGCTTTCACACAAATCAAATAATTAATCTGTTTTATTATCCTAACGCTGCATTCAAGCCAAAGACGACAAAGTGTCTGAGGGATTGTATTTTCCTCATCTAGATACAGCAAAAGCAGTCATGGTATTATGAAGGTTGCACTTCCTGAAGCACTGAAAGCTGAAAGATACCTCGAGTTGAAGGCTGATCCACTCTGGAGGTCATTTGAGAATTTTTGTTAAGGAGTAGCTAAGTTACTACACACAGAACACTCCAAAATCTACCACTTGGTAGAAGAGTTTCTATGTTTGCTGTACTAAATAGTGTTCCATAACAAATATTTAGATCTCAAGTAGATAAGCTGAGGCTTTTAGATAGCATTTAGATAATATACTCTTACATCAGATTATAGATAGCGTCCAGAAACAAAGGTAGAATAAAGATCTCTTATGGGTGACATCTCTTTATTTTCTGCTACCTGTGCTCCTTTTTTGTGCAGTATTATCTAATATTGCCTACATTCTGTATTGATTTGAGTTCCAAGCATGGACTGTGCTGTTGCAACATTATCATCCTCTGGAGGAAGAGAGTAATATGACCCTACTTGATGTTGTTGTACCAAGAATTTCAGTTGCAGCTGTGTGAGATGTAGAGGTTTATAAGAGTTACAGGTGTCTTAAACAAGTAAACAAAATGTAGTCCTTTCCCCTTATGTTTATCGTATGAAGAAATGGTGTAAATTCTTAATTAAAAACTCTATTAAATTGTATTAAATAACAATATTTCTGTTTTGCTTTTGTAGGCTTTATGCAGAATTACTCGTTATTCACCCAGTGCTTTCCAGAGTGTCATTGAGAAGGTGGGATTAACAGCTGTACTAAATTCCTTGCTAACTGGAATATGCAAAATACAGCAGTACATGCTCACCATGTTTTCTGCAATGTTGTCGTGTGGAATTCATCTCCAGAGGCTGATACAAGAAAAGGTTAGATTTCAGATTAATAGTATTCAGTGGCATGGAAATTCATGAATGAAAAGTTAACAGTTTCTTCTAGGAATGCTTTTTCAAAATGCTTAGCTCAGTAACAGCTAAATACCTAAATAGCAGAAAATTTAGGAACAGATCTCTCAATTTTCTCAAAACTAAGAATTGTGAATTTAACATTTTAATAGAGGGAAAAAAACGGTTCAATGATGTCCTTCAAAAATTACTACTTACAGAAAATTACTACCTGTTCATGTAATACAGATAATGTGTTATTTTTATATTTTTGTTTGTTGAAAATATGAATAATGAAGAGTACAGTGTTTCTTATTCTCACATCCTTTATAGCTGATGCTTGTGTGTGTATATATTCCTACTACAGCTGGAAAACTCTAGCATGACCATAACATAGGGTTTTTAATGGTCCTAAAGAAAAATATGTCCTGAGTGAATCTAAAGCTCTACTTTACTTCTGGAGTTTTTTACAATAAGGGTGGAGAGGCACTGGATGAGGTTGCCCAAAGAGGTGCTGGATGTCCCATCCCTGGAAACATTCAAGGTCAGACTGGACAGGGCTCTGAGCACCTGATGGAGCTGTAGGTGTTCCTGTTCACCGTAGGGGAGTTGGACTAGAGTCCCTTCCAACTCAAAAGATTTGATGATTCTGTGAATGCATTATGCAGTACAGAATATAAAGCTACGTCTTTCCACTCCAACTACAGAACTGTCTGTATTCCTAAGAAATGCGAAATGAAATTCTTTACAGTCTGTAAGATTAACATTCTGCAGTTATTTTCATTATTCATTGGCAAATATCTTTCACATTCTCTGAAACCAAAATCAAGACACAGCCTTAGAGCCAGGGGAACATTGAAAAAGAATGGACCTAGCAGGACAAGGGGAAATGATTTTAAGTTGAGGGAGGGAAGATTTAGGTTGGATATCAGGGGGAAGTTCTTTACAGTGAGAGTGGTGAGGTGCTGGAACAGCTGCCCAGAGAGGCTGTGGATGCCCCGTCCCTGGAGGTGTTCAAGGCCAGATTGGATGGGGCCCTGGGCAGCCTGGTCTGTGGAAGCTGGTGGCCCTGCATGTGGCAGGGGGGTTGGAGATTCATGATCCTTGAGGTCCCTTCCAATCCAGGCCATTCTGTGATTATTCTCTCATTGAAGGACTTTGACCAACTCATAAGCAATATGAATAAAGCTACTAGTTCTAATGCATTTTCTAGTATAATGTAGGTTCTAACATAATTTTTGAAAGAGATCTCAGAATTATAGAATGGTTTGGATTTGAGGGGACCTTTATTGATCCGTGCAGATGCTGTGTGCAGGAGCACCTCCCACCAGATCAGGTTGCCCAGGGCCCCATCCAGCTTGGCCTTGAACGCCTCCAGGGATGAGGCATCCACAGCTTCTCTGGGCAGCTGTGCCAGGGCCTCCCCGCCCTTCTCTCATAAAGAATAATTTCTTCTTTATATCCAAAGTAAACCAGTCCTGTTCAGTTTAAAGCCACTCTCCCTTGTCTTGTCACTACTCTCCCTGACAAAGGCTGTCTTCAGCTTTACTGGAGGCCCCTTTACCTACTAAAAGGCTGCTATCAGCTCTCCCTGGAGCCTTTTCCAGACTCAACTCCAACAGCTCTCTCAGCCTGTCTCCATTGGAGAGGTGATCCTCTGAGGATCCTTGTGGCCTTCTCTGGACATGCTTCAGCAGCTCCATGTACTTGTGCTGGGGGCTTGGAGCTGAATGTCGTGCTGCAGATGGGGCTTTACAGAACAGATGGACAATCCCCTCCTTCACCCTGCTCTGCAAGCTGCTTTTAAAGCAGCCCAAGATACTTTTGTCTTTCTGGACCGTAAGCACACACAGCTAGTTCATGTTAAGCATTTCATCTACCAGCACCTCTGACTCCTTCTCTGCAGAGCTGCTTTTACTGCATTCTTCTCCCAAGATGATCAAAAGCTTTCTAATTTGATCACCAAAATATTCCATGTTTATTTTTGTCAGTACACCTGTACAGTTAACAAACAAAATATCTATTTACAGAGAAAAAATTAAAGGAGGAGCTCATGTTTTCATCAGCAGTGATGTGTGCTGTAACCTGACTCTCATCTTGACTAAAAAATGCAAAAAATGGCTTTACTTGAAATGCATTCATTTACTTCCTTTATATATTGTTTTAATGACAACATTTAAATGAAAAAAATTATAAACAGTCTTCCACTCATCTCTTCTTGCAGCCTGAAATTACTCATGCTCTTCATGAAAGTCATTTAGTTTCATGTCAGAGTTGTCAATGTTCTCTGTGTAAATGCCTATCAGCTGGCCTTAAGCTTTCCACAGATTCCACTTACAAGAGCATTAACAGATGGCAAATTGTGACATTACAGGACAGTTTCAAGCGCCTTACTGCGTGTTGGTGATCTATTGAGAGAAGTATGTTCAAAGATTCACTTACACATTGAATTCTTTCCCTGAATGTTCAACAAGCATATGGCTACACCCTGATGACACTTTTCAATGTTCTTAGTGCACGACACGCAAGTCCGTCCTAATGAAAAAAGAGGAAGAGAAAAAGAAAATGACTGAATGAGTGTAAATCTCCCAAGTATTTTGTCTTTTGTAGAATTCTTGTGGCCTTAAGAGGTAGTAAGACTTCAGTGTTATAGAAGGTAATTTTTAATAGAACTGCAAACCAACATATTAAATGATGCTTAAATATACGAATTCAAAATGGAAGTCATTTAACTTTGTGTATTTTATCTGGAAACCCCCTTAGCTTGCAAGCCTTAAGCCTGCCTTTGTTTTTAACTCCCTTTGAGAACAGAAATGAAATCATTTACAAAATAATAACTAGAAGAATAGAAAGGAAAAATGCTGTTCTGTAGTCATCTGTGCCAATATAAATCTTAGGAGAACTACAGTGGCTTAAGGGGTTTTTTAAATCCCTCTCTGATACAGAGATATTCTATTATAGTTTCATGTTTTGAAGACAAAACAACAAAAATGCAAAAATAAAATGTGGAGAAAGAACCTGAATCAAACATCTTTGAAAACTATAGCAGTAGATAAAAAAGAAAGTTACTTTAATCTAGCTGTCAAATATCACCTCTGAATGAATGGAAACCATTAACATTTTGGTAAGTCTGCACAAACCTGACTGCCCTGCTCCTGCTAGAAAGTCACTAGCCTGCATGTTGGATCCACCTATGCAGCCAGCATGTTTTGTTTGCTATTTGGACCAAAAAACTTGAGTCAACTACCATCTCTGTTTTTGTGGTTGTTCTTGAGTGTGCATGCTAGTGGTACCAGTCACCCCTTGTGTAAATCATACCCTCACAATTTAGCAATGTGATTCCTTAAGGTCAGAGTGTCTCTTCTTCCTGATTCATTTGTACAGCACTTCAGGTCATGAAATGGCAAAAATTAAGAGACGCAGGCCTTGCAAAAGGATTTGTAACTTTGAATTATTTTTTGTTGCTTTATTTTTTTTCCATCTAACTCTTAACTTATAACGTTATGGAGATATTTGCAGTTCATAAGAAGCAAATTAAAAAATACTCTGGAAAACAACAAATATTTGCTACAACATCTTCAGTGATTCTTGAAATAATAGTCTGTTTTCCCCTTGTGTAAACAGTTAAAAAACTTAATTGCTTTTCATGATTTATTTTAAATTTGCTTTGCAGTATCATTATGAATATCCTATATAAAATCATGATCTTGTTGTGGTAGGGTGACTCACTTGTAATGAAAGCAGTGTCCTTACCCTGCAAAGTCTCCATGGATACATCAAACAGTTGTGAGCAAGGGAGGAACAGTGTAACAGTGCAACAATTAATAATTAATATATATGTATTTCAGCAATTTTTGCCTCTTCTGATTTATTGAGTTCTGCAGGTCAGCAAAGTTGTGCTGCAGATTTTCTTTGGATAAAATGTTGCTGTTTGGCAGTCCTCAGACCAAGCAAAAAAGCAAATTACAAAATGTCACTTTCGTATCTTAAGCCAGATCATTAGAGAATTCTCATGTAAGTTAGATAATAAGTTTGATATAACTAATTTTAATTGACAGTGCAATTATTTGCATGTTTAATTGCAACCCCTGCAATAGAATATTCTTGCTTTCTAAACCATGAGGAAAAAAACTACAGCCATGTTTTGGCTTGCAGATGCATCTGTCCATGTCATGTTGCCCCATTTCTTGGTCTGCCAGGTCCATTTGTGTTAGCAGGCAGTGTACCATTATAAATACTGTTATTCTAAGCCTGAGACTTTATTACTGTAACAGCTCTTTTTTGTGTGGTTATTCTGAGTTATTTCTTAACAAAAAAGAAAAGGGAAGGGTAGGGAAGGGAGAGGAGAGGAGAGGAGAGGAGAGGAGAGGAGAGGAGAGGAGAGGAGAGGAGAGGAGAGGAGAGGAAAACCTCTTTACCAAAATTTCAACCTTTGCTTCTGATTTGTTTATCATTTAAAAAATTTATTGCTCAGGCTCATGCTGGAGGAGATCCAAGTCCTGCTCCATGAACAGTTGAGCAGTTTTAAGTATGAACTTTATGCAGTTTAGTCTCACCAACCATAAGATTGAAGAACGGTGTCTATTTATAAACTAAATTACAGAAAGACAAGAAAGAATTAGTAGAATAATTAATAGCTTGTTCTTCTGAGACATCTTTACTGATTGTCTGTGTTGATGGCAATCTGTGTTTTGAAGACAATAAATAGTATCACACAGTAGAGTCTGATGGCTTGTTGGCTGGATTTTACACTTATGTTCTTTCTTCCTGCTAAGTGTTGCAAAACCTGCCTCTAATGAATTATGTTTGGTATTGATTTTCAGTTTTATGAAGTTGCCTTTCAATTATTCTGTCAGCAAAACAGGGAGTTTGAATAACACTTAGCATGTGAAATGTGTGTCATAGCAGGATTTAAAACTTTATATACAACATGCAGTTATATATTGGGTGGCTGCTTCATTCCATGGTATCATTTATGATCTGATGTAGCCATAATTATATCCAACAAAGGTGGTGTTTTATCATCCTCCATGTATGGAAATTGATAGGTAAACATTTAGTCTTACTGGTGCTGAGATATGCCTATATTCTGAAAATTCATCAGTCTTAAAGATAAGTATGTTAAAATATCTTATTATCCTTAAGGCAAGATATTTTCTAATGCTTTCTAGTCCATTCTAGACACAGTAGAACAGACAGCGTTTCCTTGCTGTGGCTTGTGAGAAGTTGAACAGAGCAGTGTTTCACTTGGCCTGTCTATTTTGGACAAAATTTATTTAGCTGTGTTGTATGGATTTTATTTGCTATGAGAAAGGAGTGAAAAGGGTAATAAAAAATGCAAATACAGTATACAAATGAAAAAATGGAATTTCAAATATACACTGATAAAGTATAATGCAAGTAACCATTTTGCATAAGATAACATTAATGTTTTTTTGTTTATCCCCACCAAGGAGTTTGTGACTACAATTATTCGTTTACTTGAAAGTCCTTCAACTTTCATACGAGCAAAAGCATTTCTGGTCCTGTTGCAAGTTTTAATAAATAGCAGGGAAATGTTGCTTCTCAGTTGTCAAGCAAGGTAAGGTAATAACGGAATTTATGATTAGAGATGCAATGCTTATTTTCAAAGTTGTGTCTAAGTCACTTTCAATATGTTGTATTTCAGAGTCAGTGTTTAGGAATGAATTATCTTCTGTGCAATGCAGATCTTTTCGTTTCTGAGAATATCAAGAAAAGAGTTCTCTGTTTTGTCTTTTGCTGTCAGCTGATGATTACTCACAAGGGGAAGCCACTCTGGCTTACAAGGAGAGACTTTAAAAGTAACTGGTGGTCCCTGTTAGGATAAGCAAGGAACAGATTTTGTTTTGGGTGGGGGAAATAAGTACTGCATTAGTAAATTGTTGCTGTGATGGGAATGCAAAATAAAAAGGTCTGTCATGTACCTTCCTCATCTTAGGATGTGATTGATATAACCTGTAGGTTCATTAAAAGCAGAATAATGTTTTGTGGCTGTTTGTGTTGTTGAAGTCATTTGCACAACAACCACGGAATTCCTGTGACTTTTGCATGAAATATATCATTTGTTCCTATATTTTAAAATACTTTGCAAAAAAAATGGAAGCACTTCAGTTAAGTTTGATTCACAGTGGAATGGTTATTGGAACTTTTTGCACTACAGTGCTCTCATATAAGATGAGAGGAAATGAGACTGATAGAATATAAATTGTCACCATGGTTTTGAGATGGTTGGAGAAGTAAGATGGAAAAAATTTTCTTGAGTATTTGTAACAGCGAAATACAGTGTGGACCCAGGGTTTGTGGGATTGGAATAAAATGGATTTGAAACTAGAAATAAAAAGGATATGACTTGTAGGTATTTATAAACCATTCACAGCAAATACAATTTTCCTATATCTTATGTTGCTTTTTGAGAAGAATTTAGATGTGTATTTGGAGTCAAGGGGATGGATTTATAAGGAGCAGAGGAGTTATACCATCAAACCATTGTGAGTGGACATCTTTTGGAGTGCTGTCATTTCATACTCCTCCACTCACATAAGTATCTGTAGATACGTCAAGTGTTGGAGATTGCGGAGAGTGTTGATTCACTGTTGTGCTTCTTGTACTTCTAAAAATGCTTTATCAAGTGATGTGTTCTGGACAGTCTAGAATGTGTGATGATTTTGAAACAACTTTTTGAACATTACACTTTTTAATGCGCTTCTTCTAGCACATACAACTGAGCTATGTGTTTGGAGGAATGTCTGACCATTGTCCCATACTGACAGTTAATATTTGTTGATCTATACTTAAGATATTACATGAAGGACAAGAACTTAAGTACAATTTATTGACAATTTATCCTCTCTCTTTCTTTCTTTTCTTTCTTTCTTTCTTTTTTTTTTTTTTCATATTTTGTTTATTTTCTTAATAATGCTTTCCATTGAGCAGCATTTCTGAAGAAAATGTGTTGTGAGTTTGGGCTGTTATTTTGTGTTGTGAATTTTGTGCTGCTGTTTTGTAATGCTCCAGGCAGAACAGATTAGGGACCAAAGAATTATGTAAACACAGTAGCTAAAAAAACAGGTAAGACTTATAGCAGCTCTACTGAACTCATAAGCAGCTATTTTTAATTTGTTGTGATTTCTTCACAATTTCTCTTCAGCAAACAGTGTATCTGAGCAGGGCAAATGATCTAGACTAAAACATTTATCTTACATCTGGAGTACAAGATGATTACAGTAGCATGAGAGAGGAGAAATGAACTATTTTGTGTGGGGTCTGCTACTTTTGTAATATCCTGAATTCTGAAAGAATTTTTCTTGAGTCCAGCTGAGATAATGGATATTCTTTAATTTTTATTAATTGTAATTCAGCACTGTATTTTAGATAAATATCTCCAGTTCTATCAGAGAAATTAATACTAATAATTTGAAAATTTCTAGTACAGTAGAAAGAACTTGGATAACTATTGAAAATGTTTTATGGGGGAGAAACTTTTTATAAGGGCATGTAGCAACAGGACAAGGGGAAATGGCTTTAAACAGGAAGAGGGTAGATTTAGAGTAGATATTAGGGAGACATTATTGTGAGGGTGGTGAGACACTGGAACAGGTTGCCCGGTGAGTTTGTGGATGCCCCCTCCGTGGAAGCATTCAAGGCCAGGCAGGATGGGGCTTTGAGCAACCTGGTGTAGAGGGGGGTATCCTGCCTATAGCAGGATATACCTTAAAGGTCCCTTCCAACCCAAACCATTGTGTGTTTCTACATACTCAAATCATTTTATAAAGATATTTGAGAAATTTGAGGAGTATGTAGTAAAATGCATATAAATTATATTGGCTTGTCTTTAGCATCTGCAGCTGATCGTAACATGATTTTTATTCCTTCAGGTTATACGATCTGATTATGAGGATCAATATGAGGCAGTTTCTCAGTATGCATTTTTTATTATGCATACATACTCCATGTGTATGTTGTGTGGCAAATTTGAACAAGATAAAACAATCAGTCAGTGACGTGTAACTTATTTTATTAACCCCTGTATATCTTTTTCATGTATTGTTGAGTGCATGACAAACATGTAGATTGAATAAAAAGTGTAATACTTCCACAGGCCTGATTTTGCTCATTAGACAGAACACTAAGACTATTCAGGCATTAAAAATAACTGATTTTCTGCAAATGACTGAGGGATTTGTTGAAGGAAAATGAAAACACTAATGCTTCCCTGACCATATATGAATTTGTCCAGTTTTCTCAGACAGCAGTTATTTAAAGAATACTGTCGAGGAAAAATAGTTGTGCATATTTTTAAAAAATCCTTGTGAAGGACAATTTTGTGATGGAAAGAACAGAAAGAAACCACCTGTATTTACACAGACAGATTTTGTATAAAATACTTATTTGTTTGGAAAGGTTAGATTTATAGTCTTGCAATTTGAAATGTCCTATCATACAAATATATACATATATATATTAATATATATGTAAACGTAATATATATAAAATATATATAAAATGTAAAGCATTTGAAAGAAAAAAAATTATTTAAAGTGTTGTCAGATTTTAAGTATTTCTCACGTGCTACACAAATGAGAAATCATTGTAATTCTTGCAATCTCTGGAAGTTGTGTTGAAATGTCAAAGATGTCCTCATAGTCCATGGGAAGCGCAGCTGAAAGTGTCAGTGAAGGGCCTTGTGATTTCTCTCTATCTTCATCTTTGTAACACAGTTCAGGAAGGATCAGGTGAGCTGTACTATTCCTTAGCAATCATCCACTGTTTAGAAGCCTGATCCTGCAAAATGCATTCTTCAGTAACTTCTACTTAATTGAGTAAATAATCTCTACGATGGAAATTCACACTTGCTAGCATAAAAATTTGTGTTACTGATCCTTCAGTTTTGTTGTATGCACCTAACGCAGGTGAACTACGATGAGCATTGGTTATAATAAGAGTGTGTAAGAAAAATGATAATACTGAAGTACATTCTTAAAATCCAGAGCATGGTTTTCAGTCACCAGTGACTGATGGTTCTGTGTGCCAAACCCCCTGGGAGTTTGAGTATGAAACAGAGATGTCAATATTAGGCCCCTAAAGGAAAATCTGGCCCTTCTTTCTATTCAAATGAGTATTTTATAATATTGCCTGAAGCATTCTGTTATAGGTGTATTATTAAAGCAATCTCTTGTAAGTTAGCCAATGGCTAATAAATCAGTTACCATAGTTTACTGTGAAAAGTGTCATTCTGCGGAACAGCATAATTTTACAGCATTTGTCAGTTAGAATGTAAGCACTGGGTTTTGTCTTTAGAAATCTGGAATCATATTTCCAGAGAAAGGCATAATGCTAGTTAGACTTCTCTATCTCTTTCTTTATAGCCATTCTCAGTAATGCTAGCATTTGAATAGACTATTTTATGATTAATTTTGTATGATTTTTCTTGACTGAAAGATTATTTTGGTTCTTGGAATTCTTACCTGTTGCTAAAGATTGTCTTTAATCTCAGCTTATAGTGCATGTGTTGGTCATATGTTTCAAAATAAAGTGAATTTCTATCCCTAATTAATTCATTCCTTATATTAGCGTCGTATCTTCATTTAAATTAGTAAAGCTGCATTTACAGTACCTTTTTTTTACCTATTGTTCCTTGTCACAATCATTTTATCTTAAAATTTTATTTATTTGAAGGGAAGATCCCAAAATTTAAACAAAATGAATATCCACAAATGTTTTCTCTTGATTGAAACCACTAGTACTAGAAATGCATGCTGCAGTAGTATTTTACAGATCTAGCATCACTTTGGCATTATGAGAGGTAACATTTTGCACGTGCTTAAATGTAGGCTTGTGATGTATATTGAAAGAGACAGCAGAAAGACCACAGCAGGAAAAGAGCAGCAAAGCGGCAATGAATACCTGTCAAAATGCCTGGATCTTCTCATCCATCACATTGTACGAGAGCTGCCAGGAATTCTAGGTAAGTTGAGTTGGTTAACTGAACAAATCTTATCTTTACTCACTTTTTTTTTACTTACTTTTGAGAAATACTTCTGTATCTCTTTACATATAGAGATGGAAAGATGGTGTTTTCTGATGATACGAAATTTGCATGTCGTTGACTTCATGAAGTTTCTTGGTTTTGTCATGATCAGATATTTTGCATTGGAGCCTGGACTGTAAGATTCAGCTCAGTCAGGAAAGGGGCCCAATTGTACAAGAAGTTTTATTGATGTTCTAAAGGTATTCCAATGATTGGAAACCTAAAAGCAGACTTGCCTTATATAGTACAGAGAAAGGAGAGAGATAACGGCATATCTGCGAGTATGTTTTAAAAACTTAAACTTCAGGGAATTTTTCTGGAAAATTTCTGTGGAAAGGATGAAGAGAAGAGGAGAGAGAAAAGGAAGGAACGAAGGAGAAAATATGAGATTGATGTGGCTAGTCTGAATCATTAAAATACTCATAAAAACTTCTGGTGGGTGAGATCTCCCACAGAACAGAATAAGAAAGGTAAATAGCAACATGAGGAAGGAATACTGAAAGTCTTCAAGAAGAGAAATGGAGCTAAACCAACCCTGAATGTGTATGGCTTGTCTTTTAAATAGTGGGGAAAAAAAAGCATAAATTTATTTTCCTGTGTGATGATGGGTGATCTATTTTTAATCACCTACGTTATTGCCAGAATATTGAAAATGAAATGGTGAAACTGCAAAGGTCATGTTGCTATTTTAAAAGAAACTACCTCCTATGTCAATGCAATTTTTTGCCCTGTTGCAAACAGTTGATTCAAACTAAATACCAGGTTCAAATGTTGAGTACCTTGTAGGATTTGGAAGTTTCAGTACTTGAAAAGTGATATAAATCAAATATATAGTTACTGTTTTTATTAAAAAATAATGCATGTATTTCTTTAACAGGGCTTCTGCTGCTTTTTTTTCTTTTTTTTTCTTTTTTCCTAGTTCTGATATAGAAAATTAATGCATTGTTTGGTTGTTTGGAAAATTGATATCTCAAGCTTAATTTTACATTAAAATTGCCTTTTCAATCTAGATTTGTGTTTTGATTGTTTTTATTGAGTTATCTGTCCATATCTGTCAAAGGCTTTTGCTTTCAATTTTTGAGTATAATGAAGGATCCTGTTCTGCTTGAGGAGGTAAAAATTATGATCTCCTAAGAAAAATGAAAAGATCTGTAAAGTGGAACAGTAAAAACAGTTTAACTGTTGATTTAGAATTAATCCTAGCTCGTTTTTAATATGCATTTATTTAAGCTTCTTACAGATACCATCTTCTTCCACCAGATGTAGCTATAAACCGAATAGATTGTCAAATTGTAGAAACTGCCATTAAGGATACGTTGAAATAAATGAAATAAAATGATAATCTCATGATTAATTTTATTTTTTTTAAGTTTTCAGTTGTTGTAGGTATGGGTGTAAATTTATTTTGGTATTTATGGTATTTAACCTGTTTCTAGAAGATAAATATAAATTGCTTATGTCAAACTAAGAATTAAAATAGCCATGAAACTGATGAATCTGGTGAATATATAGACATTAAAACATATGGAGTGAAGTGTTCAGTGACTATTTATTGGTAACCACAGAGATATCTGTTAATTCCAGTTTTGCAATTCATTAAAAAATGCATTGGTGAAACAAAAGTGTTTCATTTTACCTATTTGCAGTGTTTTAGGCAGCACTTTTATGAGCGTTATGTTATAGAACGATTCAAATCTTTAGGGCTAAGTGTTGTTACAACCAAATTTAGTTGCTTATGTTAAAAATTAGACTCCAGGGAAGCAGAAGAAAGGCATTATTATTTTTCAATGTGAGAAAACTCTGCGACTTAGTTTCAAAGGAAGGGCCTGGCCTGGCATGAAAATTGTCTGAAATACTGAATCATGTCATTTTTTTGTTTCATATTTATGTGATTCTCTGTTTACAGTTTTGTGTAGTTCTCTTGGGAAGGCAAGGGAAGACTCTATGTCTCTAGGGAAGACATATAGGAAGTGTATTTTCAGGACAGGTTTTGACTTATCAAATTTTCAGACTAAAAGGATTGGATTTTCTTTCTTTACATGTAAGCCACGACTTTTGTCTTTTTTTTCCCTATTTTTTACTCCATGCAGAAGTAGTCTTGGATTTCTAGAACAATAATGTAACACAAAGCAAGCATGATTTTACATGTCTTCTGTGAAGTCTGAAGTACAGTTTTCACTATTCAAATTAGAATTTTGTTCCCTTATTGTTGTGTCTGTGTTTTGTTATGGGCCACGTTCTGTCACTGACCTGCTGCTAACTCTTTCTATCAGAACATGAAAAGTTCTGTTGCTTTAGATAACTTATATTGTTATTTAAAATGTGTGTACACATTCACAGCTAACTGAGGGCTTTTTAGGAAGTGGAGGAGCTTGCTCGTTTCTTTCTTCAGTAGAAATAGTAGTACTATTGCTGCAGGAAAAAGATGCATTATATCACTGACTTAGGCGAAGCTCTTGGTCAGCTGGAAGTTGTGACAATTTTGCCTTTGATTTCACTGGAACTAAATTGTACTGATAGCATGTCAACAGTGTAATTCCATGCTGATATAGTCACCCAAAGCCACTACAAGTCCCATTGCTGAGAGGAGTAATTTCAGCTTTGTTTCTACTCCTGCCTCATATTTCCAGCTTCAGCAGTTTGCCAGAGGTAGCATTTGTGTGCCTATCCTTGTAGCAGGAGCAGGAGATTGACCTGTTTGAAGACTAAGTAGGAAATAAAAGTGTTGGATCAGCCTGATTTTTATCATCATGCACATTCATCACGAGAGAGAAGATAGGCTGGCAGAGATATGCTGGAACAGAAGTACTTTATTTGTCATTTTCTGTTGAGTAAATCAATTATGTTAGATCAGTCTGAAATGTTGTTTTCTGTAGGTGACATTCTCAATACCTTAACTAACGTCTCTGGACGCAAACACCCATCAACAGTTCAGGCCAAACAGCTGAAGATGTGCCTTCCCATGATGCCTGTAGTGCTTCATCTTGTGACATCCCAGGTAGATTTTTTTTCCCAAACTCCTTCAGTTTCTGAGAATCTAACTTCTGCTGATTAAAATCAGAATGGATGAAATAGAAGTTAATGTGTAATTTTATTGATGAGTATTTCAGCTAACTAGCTGTATTAAAAAGCTAACCTTGTTTTTGTATATTGTAGGATAACTCTAATGATAAAAGCCAATGCATATTTTGCCTTCTTTGTCAACATGACTGTGGAATACTTTTTACTTTCTGTGGATAAGATGTTTGGTTACTCTAACTTTTTAAACTTCTGCTAAATTCAAATAGGTATTTCGTCCTCGCATTGTCTCAGAAGAGTTTCTTTTCAACTATGGGACCTTACTTGTGAGTATGAACATCCAAATTAAACGGTGTTTGCAAAAAATACATATGCATAAGAATTTGGGATTTTAATGCAAAAAAATTAAACTAAATTTATACATTGGGGAGACATCTTTATTCCGAATACATTTGTTTAGTTTTGATTTCGAGCAGTCTTCAGTGGCGTGACATTCAATGAAGTTCTGGGTTCTCCATCTGGGACAGAGTAATGCCAGACACAGATATAGGTTGGGGAACAAGATGCTTAGTAGAAAGGGACCTGGGATGCTGGCAACAGCAGGTTCAACATGAGCAGGCAGTGTGCCCTGGCAGCCAAGAAGGCAATCCACATTTTGTGGTGCATTAAACACAGCACAGCCAGCTGGCAAAAACAGGTGATACTCCCACTGTATTTAGCACTGATGCAGTCTAACCTTGCATCTTGTGTTCCAAGCTCCACAATGTAAGAAATAAGTTAAAGTACTTGAATAAATCCAGGGGAGTGCAACAAAGCTGATGAGTTCTATGATTCTGTGACAGAGCTGGAAGGTGTATCCTCTGAGGAGGGGCTGATGGCACTTGGGTTGCAGAGAGAGGCAACCTCAGTGCTCAATGAAGCTCCATGAGGAGGGGTTGCAGAGGGATGTGCTGGCTCTGCTCCTGAGAACCAGTAGCAGGGTGTGCTAGAATGGCACAGAGCTGCATCAGGGCAGGCTCAAACTGAACATTATAAACATTTCTGTCCCATGAGAGTGGTCATGCACTGGAGCAGGCTCCCTGCAGGGGTGGCTGGTGCACCATGCCTGTCCGTGCTCATCAGACAGCTGGAGAATGGCCTCCTTAATGTGCCTCTAGATTTTGGTTAGCCCTAAAGAGGTCAAGCAGTTGGACTCAGTGATCTTTATAGGTCCCTTCTATCCCTTCTATATGAACTGTTCTGTTTGAATCTCTTCCCTTCTCTTCTATTGAAAGCTACATATATTATCAGAAAATGTCTTCTTTAGTAATCTATTGAATTGAAGGGAAAATATGCTATCTGGTGCTCAAGTAGAAAGATACTCTCTGTATCTCTGATATATTGAACATTTTCTGTGTGCTTTATTTTACAGTAGATTTACCTCTGAATTGCACACAATATTATTTCTAGAAATTTTGCTGAAACCAGGACTAGAAATGAGACATAAATTAAGGTTGCCTGTACTTTTTCTCTGTATTTAGTTGATGAAAAACTGAATATTACAAGCTACACAGAAATTAGTCTTGTAACATCTATAAATTATTTATGACATTAGTGATGGAAAATGAACTTTTAACTGTCCCATAAGGAATACAGTTAAAATGAAGTAGTACAATTGTAATGTAATTTCTGTATATAAAGCAGTTATTTCTGCTGAATGAGGAAGAAACCAATTTCTAAAGTTGCATATCAGAGTTTAAAAAATAAAAATAAAACACTTTTAAGTACACACGTTCTTAAAAGACAGCTATATACTGACTTCCACAATTGCGTGCAGAAGAAATGCTTCACCACAAACAGCTAAGTAAGATTTTACTATTCATATTCACTTCTCTTTCTCTTTTGACTTTGTTTCCAAGAAAATATGGGTTTAAATTAGGACTCATGACCAGTGAGAAACTTTTCGTAGAAAAATTTGCATTAGAATAAAGTGAAAAAAATGTAGAAACTGAATTAGAAAACCTTTTATCTCTATGAAGCGCTTGTAAATAGCAAGGAGATTTATTAATGATTTTGGATCAACCTTTTAGAAGGTGAAATTTCTTTGTCAACGGTACAGCTACAGTTGACCAAGCGCAACATAAGTTTTCTTTTGACATTTCTTCAAATTGCTTGAACAACTGAGTAAGGAACTTAGACTAATCATGTTACTACAGCTCTCCTTTCAGATCAAGGAGAAGAAAATTACTTGACTGACTGTTTCCTGTGTCTTGTTTCCATCAAACTAGGCAATTCAGGAGCTTAAATATACTATTTCAATTTATGCATAAAAATTGTGGGGAAGTAATACAACTGGAAAACGTATATGAAAGCAGTCTATTTTACATAACTGTGTAATTAATTCTGAAAGAGTAACTATCCATTCTACCAGGGAGCAGTCTACTCTGGAATTTTGCTTACCAACATTCCCACTGACATCCTTAAAAGGACATTCGATCTTCAGCTTGTACTTTTTTAAAGTGCTGTGCTTTATTTGAGGCCTCTAAGTCTTGAGCAAGCTAGTTCTTCAAGTTTTGGTTTTTATTTTCCTAATTTATTCCAAAATCTTAACTCATTACAATGAGAAACGATTAGGAGTGGAAAGATGTGTACTTGGTATTTGGAAAGAAAAAGTATTGATTTTCCTGTAACTGTTGTTCATTGAGAAATATCTTTTTTCTTTCTGCTTTGAAGTTATTTCTATCATCACTGTAATTCTCAGTGCTCCCATGAAAAGAAATTGAGAAGGAGTTGGGACAGTCCTTTCATGTTTTCAGCTGTAAATAGAAAGACGTGGAAGAGACTTGCTCTGCCCCAAAGGCACCGCTAATAGTAGGCTCCCCATGGAATGCATTGGGGAGAATTGCTTGTCATAGAATACACACAGTTCCCCTCCATCGCTCAAAAAAACAACAAATGATATATAAATGCACCTTCTTCTTGGTCTTAATTTTGTAATAGGAAATTAAGGAAACAAGCAAAAGTAGCCAAAACAATTTATGCACCAAATATGTTGATTTTTTTCAGATTGGTCTTGATACTATGCTTCTAAGTGAAGTAGCCTTAAATGAGCAAACAATGTAATTTGCTCTCTTTCAAAACAAATTAATTAGATTATAACTGATAATTTTCTTCAAATGATTAGGAAGATAAAACATATGCTGTTTTATAGAAGCGACTGTTCTTATGACTTCTTCCAAGATACTTTTATATTATGAAATATACAGTTAACTTCTATCAGAATTTCTAATCAGAGAAGAATCCTTTAGATGTCTGTTACACACAGAGGAAAAGTAACCTATATAGGCATTTCTGCTGTTCTAATATGTAACAACAAAGTTTTAATTGATTGTGCAGTATGAAATAAGTGGTTCAGAATGAACATTTTCTTGATGTTTTACCTCACATAAACATACAGAGATATGTTTGCACCTTGAAAATTCGAAAAGTGTTATCTACTGTATTGTCATGTATCCACATAATGCATTCACTGTATATTAAATACTGTGTAAGTACTTGAGTTAATTAATTAAAGTAATTAAAAACATATGATAAATTCGGCTGATATTTTTCTTTCTCTAGCAAGTGTCATTAATGTGTCTTTTGTATCTCCTGTTAAATAGACAGCTATGCATAAAAGTAGGAGATAGAGAATGAAATCAAGGTTAAAAGGCAAAAGTATAGCAGGTGTACTTGTACAATATTTACTTGTCTAAGATTATTCATACTTCATTGTTCCTGTTCCTCAAAGATGAGTTATTTAGATGATACTTTGTAGAAGGCTGTGCCTTTTTGTATGTTTCATGCATGTGCGAGTCTATCTGTAGTAAGCATAGCGGCCATAGAGATCAAAAAGATGTCCAAATAACAGAAAATTGCATTTTCTAGGAGAATCTTTGGTCTTTTTAGTGAGTTATTTTAGCATAGCCATATCCAAGGTAGTTCAAAGGCTTTTTAGAAAGTACAGTTTTCTGTTAACAATAAAGTAAGACATTTAATTACTGCCTATTTAGCTGGAAATGCTGTCATTCCTTACATGAGTCAAAGTAATGATCCTTACTGTATTCTATGTTTAACTGTCCAGCAGCATTAAAGACTTGCAAAACTATTTTATAATTGCCAGATTATGAACGTTTTGTCTTTCCTATCTAAATTATTATCAGAACTTTTGGTGCATCAGTATTTTGTATTTACTCAATCCTTCAAATTTCATTTTGCAATTATTCAGTGATTATGCCTCTTAATTTTTGTTTCTGCCATGTTTTGAAATAAATGTTTTTTTTCTGTAGAATTTTATTAGATCGATAGAATCAGGAGAAACAAATTTGGATGGAGCAATAGGTGAGTTGACTCATGATATTACTTGCACTTTTACATGTAGGCACTGCATAGATGTTGCATTTTTTAAAGAAATGTAATGATTTTTACTAATAGGTCCAGCTGCATCAGAAGAACTGATTAAGAATACTTTATCAACGTTTGAAGCAATAACACTTCATCCTGCCTTGTTGACAATCCACCACTTGACTGTAAGTCTGGCAACAGATTAAGTAGTTGCAGGGTAATTAGCTGAATCCTGTTGATAAATGAAATATTTTGAGGATTTAGAAGCTGTGTGAATTACAACTTAAATTGTATCGCTGTTCTGTGACAGAAAAAAAAAATATAGAGATCTAATTTCTCAAAATATAAAACATTCAGACTTGGTTTACTGTATTTAGAAATTGCAGAGAATGGGGGGGATATTTGTTTGAGATATAGAAATAGCACTTCTTAAAATTATTTTCAAATAAATATGATACCTGATTCTATAAGCAAGGATGACGTTACACATCAGTTAAATTTTTCCCACCTAGTTTGCCATTATGCTCTTAAGATAACTTGGAAAGACCAGCTTTGAGAGTTGACAATTTGACTTCATGAATTCTATTCCTGCTGAAATCAACAAGAGTAACAGTTCGTAACAATTACATGAGTTATTGTTCTCATCGTGCTTTTTTAAAATATCTTTAAGCTTAACTGTTTGCAAATTGTATTGGAATAACAAAATCCATGTACTTTAAGCCTCACCTAACACTAAGGATATGTTTTGTTCAAAATTTTTTGTTTAATTGATTACTTTGAGCTTTCAGATAGACTGGTTAAAACCAGAATTGTGTTGGGAAATAATTGTCAGCAAAACGGGAAGTTCAAAAGCTTGATTTAGTGACTCACAAATCTTTGTAACTTGTCCCATTTGTTTGAGAGTTCTCACTGAAAGTAGAATTGGGATGGACATTTAATTTAAATTGAAATTTGTGTGTCTGTACTGAAATCAGGTTAAAGGCACACTGAATATAGCACTTAAGTCAGCTTGACTGGCAGCTTTGTTTCAGCAAGTTGTGCTAGTTAAGAATGAGCGATCCTAGGGATTGTCAGAGAAGAAAGGTTGACCATAGAAATGAAATATTTTTAGATGTTGCATCCTATTTGCTGTGCATGTTAACTGAACACTTAGCTAGTAAAGTGTAGTTAAGTGAAAACATTAAAATTAAAAAAAAAAATTGAAATTCAAATGACATGCTTATTTTCAATAGTTCTCACAACCTATGAAGAGTATTATTTGAATCAATGGTTCTTATTCACAAAAATCTAACCAATTAGTAGTGAGCAAATAATACAGAATGGAAGAGTTTAATTAACTTTTGTAGGAGTTTTGCCATATTAAAGAAAGTTAAATGTAGATGAGGTATGACTGCCTACTGATATTTTCCTGCATGTCTGTCAGCCTGTAATTTGCTGAATTATAACATCATTCTACAACCACCTCAATTTTTAAAAATAATTGTTTAACTTCTGTGTGTCGTGTGGGTTATCAGTGTGACTTGTATTGATGGGAATATGTGCCTTTTTTTATGGAAGTCTATCAGCACTTACTAAAACTGCAATACCTTTTCTCAGTGTATTCCATTAGCTGCTATTTAAACTGTATTGGTTGTATTTATTTACATTATTCCTAGAAAAATGGCATCAAGGAGAGACAGCTCCTTTTTACAACCTTACCTCTCCTACTCCCATGATAATATTCAGCAGAAAATTATACTGAAGCTAGGGAATGACTGTCCTGCTCTATTTTAAGTAACCTTTGGCCTAGTGATAGTTGAGTTTTATTTACAGATCTAAATTTTTGAGGAGCAGTTGACTTCATCACACGTGTTGAAAGTTTTAGATGTTGATTTAAAGTCCATCTGAACAGCTCAAAAAAGCTCGTATAGATATAGATAAAACAGCCTGCCTGTCCAGTGATGTAGCACTTCAGTAGAATAGGTTTCCTGATTCATAATAAGGCTGTATTGAAATTTATTCTTTTGAAAATAACTATGTCCTTGTCAATGAGCAACTTTTTTTCTTCATTTGAGAAAATAGAACCTATTACTTTGTTCATTTTTGTAAATAGCAGTTCCTCCTGGCTTAAGAATCCTCCTCACACTCAGCGAATAGCCATTCAGATACAAAATAAAGTGGAAAAAATGCTTTCAATTTGGTATGTTATATTCAAAATTGTCCACTGTAATTAATAATCTCTAACCACATCTGCCACTAGTGGTGCAAACTGTAATTAGTTTAATACTATTTACGAAGTCTAGTGTGCTAATTATACTTGAATGTACAGCTTACATTACTTTAGAGGAAAGGAGTACTTCATCTTCTATGATGCATACAGAATATTTTTAGAAATGCTGTTACTCAAGGGATGTCTTCTAATTGCTGCTAGCTGAGCATGACTGGAATCTATGAATATAAATGCCAACACCCAGCGGAACTTTGTGCCTTTTAAAAAAGTTGAAGCAAGACATGTTCAAGGTTCCAGATCAATATTTAAGTGTAACAGCAGTTAATAGGAGACTCTTACTGGAGAGAAATGTGTTTTTTAGGCTGATCTCTGAAGTCTAGATTGCTCATTTAGATAAAGTTGGTTACAAGCAGTGTTTTATGTACGAGGCAGGAGGGAAGCCATCACCTTACTGAGAGGATGTATTTTTTTCATTCTGTGACAGTTCCTTAAACTTTCTGATCAGAAATGAAGTGCAGTGAATTTAACAAAAAGTGGAATTGTTTTAAGCGAGCAAAACCAGTAGGTTTTTAGTTCAGATCTGATTTTATTTAGCTGCAATTAAAATCGTGTAAATTGAGAATAGTTTAAGAGCAGCGTTTCAGGTTCTTTCTCAACATGAGAAAAAAAAAGTGCCTATTCTAGGTTTTACTTCATGTTTGATTTGTCTTTTTATTTGTGTCTTGAACGAAGATTGAGTAATTGATTTTTGTGATCAAATTTATGAATAATATCAATCTCAAGAAAGTTTCTGAGAACATTCATTTCTGTGGTGACTGATTATGTTATATATTGCCAAGTATGGGGAAGTCAAGGGAAAATGATGTAAAAGTGTTCAAAGGAGAACCATTAGCGAGCAGTAGTTTTGTATGTGATTGTGTGTACTTTTTACAAGGTGCAGGGACAAACACTGAGTAAGTGTGACTCAGCAAGTTTCCACAAAACTCTGTACTCAAATGTTATCATGAAGGCCTAAACGAATAATCTCTATAGACTGCAGCAGAACACAAACAATGGTTTTGTAAACCAGCACAAGTCCAAGTGTTTGTTTCCCCCCTGTACGTAAAACAGAAAGCTATTTAAAAGTGAGTATAGTAAATTTTATAAATACGTATTTTAAAATTTGGGTAACAGTTCAGACATAATTAACTGGAAGAATTCTATGCCAACTGCATCACTTATATTTTTCTTCTTTTTCTCTGTTAAGTGTGTTTATTTTCCCCCAAGAAGACCTATGGTAATTCAGTGCACTTTGAACAGTGATGAGGTTCATGACAGCACCTAGCTGGTTTCTGTGGGAGTTCTTTCAATACTCTAACTAGCTCACAAGAATGCTCAATATATTGCACAGATAATCTCTTACCTGAATCACAAAAGTTATTCTGTAGTTTAGGCAAAAGTTGTCAGCAGTGGTCCTCCTCCTGAAGGTTTTAGAACCTATTTTTAAAAACTGAGCCTAAATAAAAGCACCATAAGCCTGATGATTTGCTTGATGAGAAGTCAAGGGAAAAGCAGTGTGACATGGAAATCTGGTGACTGACAATGTAAGAGTTATTATTTTCACTGAAGATGACAACACTGGGGATTGAAACTTCAGCAAGTACTTTTCTCTGCTCGTTTTAGTCTTTTCTTGATTCGGCATCAATGTGTTGTTCTTCATCCACAAGTTGTTCTCATCTAACTACTGACACCTTAATTTTGTCAGTGTAGGGCATAACTGTATGGACATATTATACAGCATTTCATCAATCACTTTCCCTTTTGAAGTAGATTAAAAATGTACACCCCATGTGGCTTTCTGTCCATTAAGCTAATCCACATGACATGAGACTTTTTCTTGTGTGTGAAACCAGTTCTCTACTAATTGACATATTGAGTCAATCAGTCAAAGCTGTCTCTTCCCAGAAGTAAAAAAAAAAAAAAAAGAAAGAAAGAAAAAGATTTCAATAAATATTCTGGATTTCTGAAGAAAAATTGCAGAAATGTCATCCTTCTCCCAGTTCATTCTAACATTCATTAGATTATTGTTTCTATTACATTTTGAGAGATTACTGGGAATATAAAAAACATTGAGAATCATGCTGTGCCCTCCAGCAGATGCTTAAAGAAGTTTGAAGGCAGCATGATCCTAATCCCATGGTCAATCTCAGCAGCAATTTTGTATGTGGAATTTTAATGAGAATAAATGTCAAGATGATGTTAGTTGTTGAGAATCTTACATGTGCCTGGAACAAAGGTTTTGGAAGTTGATAGTCTTTGCTTTGTTGCATTTAACTTGAATTGTGGATTAGGAGAAGATGTTGGTCAGTAGTTGTAAATTAAACATGCATACTGGAAAGGATAACAGACCTCTAGGAAACTTTGTGAAGATAGTGTTTTAATTTGTTGCTAGTTTGGGTAGGATAGCTTCATGGAATGCATAACGTAGTTTCCTCTTGTATATTAATTCCTTGATCCGATTGTCACAGTGAGAACAGCATGGTTCAGAAGTACTACTGGACCAGGCTTTAAACCTGCTTGCTCTTTCAGTCCACCCAGTGTTAGCCAAATGTCAATGCTTTGTCCATAAACACGGATCTCTGAAGTTCAGTTGTAAGCAAATGAGAGACTTTTTTTAGGCAGGTAATGTTGGCTGTATTGAGGCAAGTTCTGTGGCCTTGAGAAGAGTGTTAAGCTCATCTAAGCATACCCTAAGTTGCAAGTGATAACAGTTAAGACTGATGATATGCTTGTTCATTTATACACAATGGTTGCTTGTATATATAGTGTGAATTCAACTTTATTGAACACACGTCCTTGTTGGATGTGCAATACTCTGTCACAGGGTACTTTCCCCAAACAGGAATGTGCTCGTGTTGGATCCTTCTGCTGCAGGCCCTAACAACTGCTCTTTTCTGGATATCTGTGGGGCTCGGACTTCATTTGGTGAGGTTGAGT